TATATATATATTTTATAATTTTGTAAAGCGAAATTTATTTACAGGATGTTTACGCCATGTTTCTAAAATGATTGGCCTTTCTTTTTTATGAACAACACTTTCTTGCATATCTTCCAAAGTAGGATGAAGACCCACTTCATCTTCAAATGGTAATCTATATTCACCTATTGGTCCCTAAAATGAATAAATGCAATTTAATTTAATTAATAATGCAATATTTAATGAACTAAAATATATATGTAAATAATTTACATCTTGCACAGTGCATCGTGAAGCTAACTCCCAAAGTACCAATCCACAGGCATACATATCAATTCGTAAAAACGAATCCCTTGTAAAATTAATTGCTCCTTCTAAAACTTCTGGGGCCATATATCTTCTTGTTCCAACCTATAAATAATAAATCTTATATATTTTAATATATATATGCATATTAAAATATTAATATATACCTGTCCATGAGTATCTCCACAAGGTTTGCCAGGATGAAATATCAATGCTAAACCAAAATCTGCTATACAAGCACTCATATCAGCTTTAAGTAAAACATTTTTTGACTTGAAATCTCTATGAGCCACAGCAGGTTTGTAGCCATCTGCTTTATTGGCTGGAATTTCTTCATGCAAATGCATCAAGCCTCTAATAAATTAAAAATCTTATCACAATAGAAGTATATAAGATATTTCTTAAACTTCTATTGAAATATTACCTTGCCATGGATTCTGCTATTCTACACATCTCAGGCCATGTAACAACATTTGCCTTCAAATAATCACATAATGAACCTTTTTCATGATATGAAGTAATTAACCAAAATTCTGCTTGTAAATTATCTCCTCTCTTTTCAACGCCTATAAAACGTAATATATCTTCATGATCCATATGAGCAAGTTTGAAAATTTCTTGTTCAGTTTGCCAGGATTGTTTATCCTGTATTGGAAACACTTTAACAGCAACAATTTCGTTTTTCAATTGTGCTTTCCAAACAGCTCCAAAACGACCTCGAGCTTTTATTTCAAGAAGTTGTATTGGACGCAACCCCAAATTAGGAGATGGTTGCGGTAATGGAAGAGGTTCTAATGTTGGTACCTACAAAAATTATTTTGTGTGACATTTACGTAATAAGAATAATTTATGATATAATATGTAACTAAAGACTTATAACATTTAATAATTAAGAGATCTGTACATATGCCTTCCAAACCTCGTTGAAATATCCCGACTTTCGACGTCGGTAACACCAGTATAAAAATGGCAAAATAATAGCAAGCAAGAGCATTGGTATTGATATTGACAAAACAAGTGTTATTATTTGTTGTTCCGTATTTGGAACAGGTTCTGAATCTGAAATAATTTTAATATTTTAATTAATAGAATAAATATTCAATCCTTAAAATGAATATTTACCATGAATATCAGGTTGAATAGGTTTAGAAGAAGAAGTTGGATGAGGATCCCATGTAAAATTCTGATTGCACATATTACCATCGCAACAACAAAAAAATAATTCTTTTTTTCTTTCTGCACTGTTTTCAATACAATGTGGTCTATCATAACAATCATTACTATCTAAAAAACATCCCTGAAATTTATAATTTAATCATAAAAATAGAACTTCTTAAAAATAAATATTATCAAATCTATAATTCTTCTTTTTGCACCTTTAATTTAATTATAGACTTTTTAGTCACATTATCAATTTGCCACAGTACATAACAATGATTTCTTTTGCCTGGATCATGTGGTCCACATTCTTCTCTTCCTGAACATTCTTGTTGCGATTCTGTACACATTGTTTCATTATAAAATTCACAAACTGAAGAACCTTTGACATCGTGTCCTAATGAAAATCCTAAAATATAAAGTTTTTTATATTTTCAATAAAATTAAAAAAAAGGCTTAAAATCTGTAATAAAATATTTATAAAAAGAAAACAGTTACAGAAAGTAATTTTAATAATATTATATAATGAATTTCATAAAATATGTGAACATACATTTATTATATTTAATTAAAAAAAAATATTATTTTTTTTATTAATCATATATTGAATTTTATAAATTCATTGTCACATAATTTATTTTTTTAATATATTTAATTTATCTTATCTAATTTATCTATCATTATTTTACTCCAAAATTATTTTTCTTTAATTTTAATATTTTTTTCTCAATATTTTTTTATCAATATGAAAAATTGAAAATAATATTTAATAATTCTTAATTTAAAACTTAAATATAATATTTTGTTATTAATAAAAATTTTTTTATAATCTTTTTGATTCTTTCAATTTTTAGATATTTTCTTGTTTTATTAAATATTTATAGAAATTTACAAAAAATTTTCATGAAACGAAATTTTAATCTTTCATATCTTTTACATAATAGAAAAACATAAATAAAATATTTGAATCACATATTTGTGATTCAATTCAATAAATATAGAATAATAAATCACATATATAAGTGTAAAACATTTGATTAAATATGCAATAAAAACAGAAAAACAAACAATCAACCAAGAGTATCATTAAAAATTAAGACAACAACAAACAATATCAGACTTAGATAATTTCATCATTTCCAAAATTTCTAATTCTTTTTCTAAAATGATTATAAAATGCTTATTTCACATCGATCACATTAATACCGATTACTAAGTCGATGTTTTGAGATACATACATCGTTTCTAATAAGATCAAGAACAACGAAATCTTTGTCGATTATTTCGACAATATTTGTCATAAATTCGTTCCAGTCTTAGACACTTCGAAAAATATATTTATAATACATTGTTTTTTTCTTTTTCTGTTATATATTTAAATCTACATGTCATGACAATAGATTAATATCTGAGAGAAGAATTAAACATATCAATTTTATATTTACATTATTGTTAAATAATAATATACTGTGGCGATCTTTTTATAATTGTCACCAGAGGAACAATAATACATCGAAAATACATTTATTGAAAGTTTTTGTTTATTGTTTTCTACAAATATGTACATTTTTAATTTTTTTTTTTTGACTTTATTATTTTAATATTTCAATATAAGCTATTCAATAAGCTTATTAAATAGCCTTACAGATGAATTCTTTACTAGCAAATTTAAGAAAAAACGCGTACCTTTTCTTTTTTGTTATACTTTCTTTTTTTTCTTTCCTTTAATTAATATCACAATATAATATCGACTTATAAAACAATTATACAATTTTAATAAAAATTCAAAATATATTTGATAAAAAAATGATATAATTTTTGAAAGATTTCTCATTATTATGTATTTTAATTTGCAAATAGAACTGTCAAATAAAAGAGAATGTGCAATTACCTAACAATCCTAAGATGAGATATGGCAGTATCGTCGCATATGCGGACATCGTGAACAGATCGTAAAAGCATACCAGAAATATTTTTAAAGTCTAGATGCACGGGTTTACGATGTGATTAAAGCGCCGAACTTTGATGCGCAAGGTCCGGAATTCGCGCTTAGCTGTCACATCTGGGTTCTTTTTTCATAATCCATTTGTATTGGTTTTTCAGATACTATGGCACCATGTTTGCCAAGAAGATTGAAGGCAATAAATTAAAAAAGAAAAGGAATTGAGTCTATTAGCTATTAAGCAAATTGTAGTAATTCATCCACCAACACATCTCTCTTCCTTTCCTCTCTCACATTTATGTCGGAGCACAGACACCATGAATTTATATCATTTTTTCATCTACTAATCAGTGCGATTTTGAATTATTACAATTATTTTAATAAAAGAATGATAAAATTTAATGGATACAAGTATACTTTAAATGTAATATTTTAAAAAAATTGATAAAAATCAACTGAACTTCTGATTTTATAATCCTACATGCCAGACGCACAGCAAATAGATCATAAACTAATAGATGGCAATAGAACATCGACGTTGATAGAAACTTGAGTTGCATTTTACATTTTATTTTTTTAATTACAAAACTTGATTGAGTTATAGAATATTTGCATATTTTAATATTTTATTTAATATAGATTAAGAAAAAAACCAGAAAAAATATTAAAATATTATAAATAAAAAATTTTTACATCTTATTATATGAAAATAATAGTTTTAATATATACATACGGATCATATAATATATAATAATTTTTTTTTAATTTTTAATTGTTAAACTCATAATATATATAACATTTATAATGAAATCTATAATAAGTATTTATAATTATTGTTAAATCAAATCTCTGTCAATAAAGAAGAAGAACATTTCTATCGACTGCATTTGGATCAATTTTAGAACTCGACCAAATATATCGATCATTCGTAATCTCGTTTTTTAGTAGTTGCTCTTCATATTTTGTTTATTAGTGACTAATATACAATTTGGAATGTATTTAAATTGCATTCAAGAATTGTCAGTGAACGGTACCTCATGATTCTGTCTTCCTCTAACTTAAAACAGTCAAAAACTACATTTAGTATTGATGATCTTGACAAGAAATATTGGTGTAACACAGTGAGAGCATATTTAATTGCAGTAAATTTTTAAGGTTAGATGAAGGATGGCACAGTGATTTGATAACTATATCGCAATTGAAGTTTTTTTTTATGAAATATCATAACGCTTAACGTTTTCTTTATTTTGACATAAATATACGAAAACTTATAAAGAAATAACGGTGTAAATTTAAATGACAAATAATTATGGCAACATCTGGTTCTGATAAAAAACCAAGAATAATCATTTTAGGAGGTAAAAATATTTTAATTTATATGATAGTATATAACGGAAGTGATAAATAATATAACTGAAAAGAAATTTTATCATTGAAACAGGATGTGGTTTCATAGGTCGTAATCTTGTAGAATATTTACTTGATAACGATCTTGTGTCTTTTATACGTGTCGTAGATAAAGTACCACCGCAAACCGCTTGGCTAAATGCTAAACATCAACAATTATTTGAGCATCCTTTGCTTGAATTTAAAAGCGCTAATTTAATCAATGCAGGTAATGTAAATATCGATAAAAGTTTTATTTCGACGAAACAATTGCAATAATTATTAACTATATATTTTATATATAATATATTATAATTATCTATATATAATCTTTGAATTTTTTGTTTATAGTATCTTGTCAAAATGCATTTTTATCTGATAATCCAATTGATTTTGTAATTAATTGTGCTGGAGAAACAAAAAGTGGTCAAACAGATCCTGTATATAAAGAAGGAATTTATAAGTTGAGTATAAATTGTGCTCAACAAGCTGCAAAATTACAAGTTAATCATTATGTAGAAATATCTTCTGGTAATTTTAATACTTCTGAAAAAGTATGTGAACTTTATTATTATTGTGTCAAATAATTTATTACAAATATCAAGTTTTAATATTTTTTAGCATCCTCTTAAAGAAGAAGAAGCTGGAGAGCCATGGACATTTGTTGCAAAGTATAAATTACAAGTAGAGAATGATTTAAAAAATATACCAAATTTAAACTATACAATACTTAGACCTGCTATTGTATATGGTTGTGGTGATAGGAATGGATTAGGTAATAATAATGTATTTTTTATTAAAAAATTAAAAATCAATAAATATAATTTTATAAAATATTCTATATATAGATAAAAAATTTTTTTTATAGCACCACGTTTAGTGGTAGGAGCTGTTTATAAACATTTAGGAGAAATGATGAAGTTACTTTGGGGACCAGATCTTCATATGAATACAGTTCATGTGAGAGATGTAGTTAGAGCTATTTGGCATGTAGTAAATAGCCCAGATACTATAGGCAAAACATACAATGTTGTTGATGAAGATGATTCAACTCAAGGATCAATCAGTGCTATAGTTTCAGAATTATTTAACATCAATCATGATTATTGGGGTACTGCATTATCCACCCTAGCTAAAGTATGGAAGAAAATTTTTATTATTTTTTTCTTTTTTTTTTATATATTTATTTGTGTTATTCTTTACGTATATATTTTATTATGCAGATTTATATTGTTCTATATATACCATATGTGCACATATCGCATATTTATTTTTTTCTTAACTTAAAATAAGACAATAATTAAATTAACTATTTTAAAGCATATGTATATATATACATATATATGTATTTATAATAATAACTATATTTACTATATATATTTTAAAATAATGGAAATATTTTAGTAGTTAGTAATTTAAAGTTTAGTAATTTAAAATTATTTTTGTTTATATATATTTTAGACAGATATGAGTTCTATTGTTGAAGAAGTAAATGACAAACATATGGGACCTTGGGCAGAAGCTTGCAATAAAGATGGAGTGGAAAATAGTCCCTTGTCTCCATATATAGATCAAGAGCTTCTTTATAATAAACATCTATATCTGCAAACAGGAAAATTATTGAGTATTGGATTTACTTATCTTTATCCAAAACTCACAAAAGATGCTTTAAAAGAGGTTAATAATTATTTATGTAATTAAAACAATATAATTTCTTTACTATTGTTTTTATTAAATATTTTAATTATTTATTAATTATTTATAGGTTCTTGATGATTACGTAAACATGAAAATATTTCCACATTCTTTGGTTCTATAAATTTTAATATTACAGACTGCCAAGATCAAATATTGAAAAAGCTTACAATAATTTTTATGAAATAATTTTTGGAGCGTTTCACCTTGTGCCTAGTAATCTATGCAAATTGCATACTTTGTATTTGCATATTGTATGTTATATACATTACTCGTATTTTACCAGCTAACAAATATTGTTAGTCATGTTTATAAAATAATGGAATATGAAGATTTCATGTATAAGCCTATTGCGAATGTGATAAACTAGGATTTAATGTACTTAATTTTATTATAGTTTGAGGTATGAAATTTTTGCATCTTAGAGTTGCTAGTCAAGTTTCGACATTACAAATAACTTGAAATTAAAGAATAATGAAGAATGAACGTAAAACTAGATATTTACATACCTAAATATAATATATTATAGCACATAACATTATTTGGATAAATATTTTAGAGAATCATGTATATCGCCAAAATGCTTTTTATACTAAATTTTTAAGACTGGAAGAATAAATAAAACTGTTAAACAATTAATGAAATCTGTAGAAATGCGAATTGTGTTTTTATATCCATTGCATTCCATTTAATGTATCTTCCAAAAGCTATTGATTCAGAATAACTTAGAAATCTTTTTATTCCAAGTAAATTGACTGCTTTTGTGGTTATATAAATTTAAAATATTATATCAAATTATATAATGTATTAAATCAAGTACAAATAATATTAATTAAGTTAGAAAATATTTCAAAAATGCCAAACAAGAAAATTAATAAAAATAAGAAAATGAAGAAAATTATATAAAAGTAAACTTAATTTTTGCATAAAATATTATAATAAAATAGCAATAATTGCCAAAATAAAATTAAGAGTAATACTCTTCTAAAATAATTGTTATTAATTCTTTAATAATAAAGTTATTCATTTATGCATTTATTCACTTATTTTTTTTTTTATACCTTTGCAATTGTTTACAAATGAATATTTTTCAGAAGGATATTGTTTTTTATATGTTTTAATACAATTAATAACGATACACTATCTTACTTTTATTTCAATCATTGATTATAACAAGATACTGAAAATCAACAATATCATTAAATATTTTG